GACCAATGTAGGCTGCTATGCAATTCTTTGTCCACGAATCATTAAAACCAACACGACCTAGGAAATTAAAAGCAACTATTCTTCCTAAAATGCAGATTCATAATTCTGTGTAAAAAAAGTACCAGTTGTTCAGACACTGAAATGTGTTTCAGAAAATTGACACAAATGAAACGGACTTAAGAATTGAAGCTTACACTTATGCTACTATTTTAAGATATAAGTAATTAAAAACAATTTGAAAACTTTCCAAATTGGAAACAGTCCCGTATGATTCGAGGGTATCACAAACGAATGGCTTACGGATATAAGGAATTCGAGAAACAAGTATTGCAGAAAGTTTATCCTGTGAAATTAAAAATGCTGAAATGCAACATGTTGATTCCCGAGATCGGAACAGTTCACTGTTTTGTACCATTTATTTACGTTGCATTGTTTCATTTTCCCACTCCTTATTAATAGTGATACTACTGGTTTCACTACTTTTATTGATCCGACCAACCATCTTTTGCTTTATTCACATTTCATCTACGTTGAGTGTCGTAACATGAACGGATAAAGGAGTATATCATAGCCTGCTCTGTTTCCCTTTGTTTGTATGAAATGTGCACACTAACAGCAACGAACCTATAAGTGGTGAATACTTTATATCAAAGATAAATGGTTACTTGATAAAAAAAGACACAACCTTGTCGTTTAATAGGATTGTGACAACGAGAAACTGAGCTAACGCTTCAATTTATGCATATATTGTTGGAATGAAGAAATACAAATGCATCAAAACGTACAATAATAAACTGCGTACACAGACTTAATTGAAGTGAAGAGTATCAACAGTTTTACCGTCCAGAGCTTCAGACACTAAAAAGGTGTTACCCACCGGTATCACGAATAGCAATCATATGAAATGTTTTTGGTAGGTGATAGGATATAACGACTAATGAACACACAATGATTACGACCAATCTCAATATCGGAGCGCTGGGAATCTAACAAGAGCACCTCTATTAACTCTACCTTGTAGAGTAAGGCAAAATGGGAAACGAAAGCTCATTCAATACTCAGCATTAAGAAAACATCATTGTGAAATAAACTGGTGTGATCTACACCCCCACTAGTAACTAGTGAACTAGTTAACCAGGCGAGGTTAAACAAATAATCCGTTATAGTGAATCTATTTTGAATCTCAGAACTCATTAAAAAAAAATCTATTCGATAGGATGACGAAAGTTATTCAGACAAAAGTAATATTTGAACTATGCAGTTTTCTCAAAGTTCACGAATAAGGCTTTGTCACTTGTTTCAGGAATCTTTGATGATCTAAAAGCACAAAGCACTAATTTAAAGTCAGTTAACATACAATGTCGTCCTTCTCTCATTTCCTAGCAGATTAAAATTAACTAAGGCAACTCCTTCTGGTACATGCTTATGTACTAGATTGTGGAGCTGTACGTATTATGTGAAGGCTTATGATACTACCCGATTGCTGAAAAAGAAATCAAGGAGTCGAGGTGCAATCTAGGAACTATCGATCTAAAGGCATGTAATTAGGCCAGTGGGAGACAGCTTCATAACTACTAGTGGCTCTATACTAATAAACTATAGTACCATTTGAAGTATTCAAAAGCAACTTTTTTGTCACTCATGATATGAGTTCCATTATTTAGAGCCAATCAAGACTAAGAAACACAACACAACCTTGTTGACCGTTCAACAATCTCAAGATAGAATAAATGTCATGCAATCGGTCTTAAAAACAGTATCATTAAATTCAATTACGTCATTTATTCTTCTAGATTCCATGCAGTTGCTTTCTATGCCCTTACTTATGTCCACAAATATAGACTACTTATCAAATTTCCATAGTACTTCGATCTATTAATTAGGTTACATTTTACAAAATACTTTAGACGGAGTTAAGTAGTGAACCCTAATTTACATTTTGAAAGTAAATGCAACCTCAGTTTTGACTAAAATCTTAAGATGGAGGATCAAAAAGTCATTAGCTAAGAGTACAGATAACCTTTGGCAATCACAGGGGTACAAACAGCACACCTACCATTCGTGCCGATTTTATTAATTTTTTAGACTGAAGATGTAGATTCACTAATTAAGAAGACAACACCGTTGTCAAGGACATAATAAGAGTTTTGAGCATCTATACTAAAAACATGAACAAAAGTTTGCAAGACCAGATCGCATATATTTCCAACAATTTTCTGGGTTTCTTTATGAATCATCATCATCATCATCATCATTATCAACATAGGACCAGGCATTACTGCGTAACGGTCCGAGTTGCCACACCTCATATCAGCACATCAAGTAAAAAGGTAGTGAGGTGAAGGATGAAGATAAGTGAATGCAGTCAAAAGAAATATAAAGTATGAGAAGAAAGGAAAGAGGAGTGACAAAATAGTGAGATTCGGTATAGCGTTGTTAAGATGAGGATAATGTGTGTATACATCTGCGCCACTGACTTCGGTTCTGAGCCATATCACCTAGGGTCTCCAACCACTGGTTCCTCTTGTCCCGTGGACCCCAACCACCTAGTCTGCATCGTCCTACATGGCTTAAACCAACAGTCAGAGACTTCATACATTGGTGCCATGTTTTAGTCTGGCCACCTCGGGCCTTTTTCCAGCCTGAACCCACCTCAGCCAACATTGTGTGACGAGGCAATCGGTGACTAGGCATACGTAGTACGTGTCCCAACCATCTCAGTCGATGAAGGTTCACAACCTCGTCGACTGACTTACCTCTTCTCCCTAAAACTCTACACCTAACTTCTGCATTACTCACATGGTGACACCACGGAATACGTCCTATACTACGAAGGCAACGGTGGTCAAATACCTGTAACCTTCTCATGTCTTCCACTTTCAATGGCCATGTTTCACAGCCATACAGTAGAACAGAGCGGACTGCTGTGCAGTACACGCGACCCTTAATAGACAAACGAATATCACGGCGGCGCCATAGGTGGCGCAAATTGGCAAAAGCCAATCGAGCCTTTTGTATCCGTGCAGAAATCTCATCGGCAACTAACCCACCAGGGTTGATCCTACTTCCCAGGTAAGTGAAGTGGTCAACACACTCAACCACTTCACTCTCTATTGTTAACCGCGGTACCGCTGAAGACCAGTCCTGGAGCAAAAATTTGCATTTGGGTGGTGAAAATCGCATCCCAAACATTCTCAAATTCCCACTCAAAGTGTTCAGAAGACTCTGCATCTTGTCAGCGTCTTCACCTAACAGGACTATGTCATCTGCATATTCTAGATCTAAGGAAAATTCACCTGTGGTCCGGTCAACGTCTTTGTAATTAGGTGACGAGAGGGAAACCTCCATAAGAATATCTATGATAAAATTAAATAAGAATGGGGATAGTGGGCATCCTTGACGGACACCACTTGATGAGTATAGCTCCCTGGACAACTCACCATAGGCTCTAACATGCCCACAAGTGTTCGAGTAGAGAGCTTTCAATAAGGTGATGTACTTACTAGGCACGCCTTTCAGTGACAGACACTGCCATAAGACTTCTCGATCAACGGAGTCAAATGCCGCCTTCAGGTCGAGAAATACAGCTATTGTCGGGCGTCTGTAAGCATGCCTATGTTCCAGGACCTGGCGCAGTGTGAATATTTGGTCGATACATCCACGGCCAGGTCTAAAGCCTGCCTGGTTTTCTCGGGCTTGCTGTTCCCGAGCTCCACTCAGGCGTCGGAGAATTATAGAACTTAGGATCTTAGACACTATGTTTGTCAGGCTGATTCCTCTGTGGTTATCACAAGAGGACTTCTCGCCTTTCTTGAAGACTGGGATGATCAGTGACTTAGACCAGTCGGAGGGGATCGTATTTGATTCCCATATACTGGCTAACACTTCCGTTAGCCTGACTAAGAGAACTCTACCACCATTCTTGTATACCTCAGCAGGTAGTCCGTCTGGTCCTGCTGCCCTTCCCCGTTTCAGGCTACCTACCGCTTTCTCAACTTCTTCTAGTGTTGGGGGACCTGTCTCTATGTCCCATTCAGGGTCCGACTGGATAGCGGGCAGCGCAATGGTGGCTGGAGGCCAGTTAAACTGTTCCTCAAAGTGTTCTGCCCATCGTCCCAGTCGCCTTCCCTGCGAGTGAATCGCCGATCCGTCCTTCTCCGCTATAACCTCACTAACTGTTGTTGACCATTTCCCCCCAGTCTCCTTAATAAGTCTAAATAACTGTCTACTGTTACCGATCGCCGCTGCCTTTTCCATCTCTTTAGCCTGTTCACTGATCCACTGTTCACGATCGTTGCGCAGACTTTTCGTCAGTTTATTTTTAAGTTGCGCTCGCTCTTCATTGTACTCAGAGCCTGCAGGGATGCATTCACGTGCATCCATTAGTTTGGAAGAAGCTGCTGATATCCACTGGCTCTTTTTAGCCATTATCTTGGAGTCGGCTACAGTCTCCAGTGCTGCTTTTACAGTAGACTGAAGATGGCACCAAGCTTCTTCTGGATGAGTGACAGTCTTTTGTTCCGATAACTGCCTAGCCAACTTCTCACTGAACACGGCTTTGGTGTTTTCGTTGTCCAGCAGAACTCGTAGTGGTTTTGTTGCCAAATTTTTTCTACGTCCATTGAGACGCAGGCATATACGTGCTCGGACCAACGCATGATCGCTGTCCAAACACGTACTCCAGAAGGAGCGGCAGTCTTCCACCGATCCTCTCCAGCGATGACTAATAGCAATGTGGTCTATCTGTGTCCATCGCTGAGTCGAGCTCGGTGGACGCCAGGTCAGACAGTGCCTTTCTTTATGTCTGAAATTTGTGCTGGCTAAAAATAGGCGGTTATCTGAGCATAGTTGTAATAGGCGATCACCGTTATCTGTACGTTCAGCTGGGATTCCGAAAGTGCCACCTAAGTGCCTTTCTGCCTCACTCAGTCTACCCACCTGTGCGTTGAGGTCACCTGCAACAACCACTACGTCCGAACGTTTGGCTTTCGAGAGGAGGTTAGACAGTTTATGGTAGAACTCGTCCTTCACTTCATCCGAACTACAGTCAGTGGGTGCGTAAGCAGAGATTACAAAGAGACAACGGCGAGTCTCACTATTCCTTTTAGTTCTCACTGTGCCGTTCAGCCTCATAGCGCAGAGGCGACTATCAACTGGGATCCAGTCTAGTAGTGAGTTTTCTGCCCTGGTGCTTAATGCTATACCTACACCTGCAAGACCACGAGAGCTAGCTATCGAATCTCCAGAAACTCGAAGGGTGAATTTTGCAGATTCACCAGATTGGTCAGGAGAGGTCAGGTGAATAACCACACTTGGGTCCTGTATGCGTGTCTCACAAACACAGCACACATCCATGCCCGAGTTGCTAGAGTCTTTGCCAACGAAGCCTGTTGGCCAATTTGACGGAGGGTGCGGACATTGAAGGCTCCAATATGTAATTTGGAGCGTGGTTTAAGGAGACCAGGGATGCTGTTCTGTGGACTCAGATCGTTGTCGAAGGCTGCAGAGGTAGGAGAAATTGAAGATGATGCAGCATCATTAATTAAGAGACGTGAAGGAAGATTAGAAGGTAATGATGGAGGAGGAGGATAGCAGTCAGAAGAAACTTGGGTGCTGACAGAGTTGTGAGGGCGGTTGACACTTCCCGGCTGCCCACACCGTGGAAGGCTATTTCTTCTTAAGGTACCTGAAAGAGATTTGTGTGACCGCAGAGCCCATCGGACATCTGCTTGAGGCCTGTCACACCCAGCCTTTTGAGTATGATTATTTTGAATTTTTGTATTTTTGGGGCCGGATGAGCGAAAGGAAACGACAAGTGAACCAACACCGCCGGCCCGGCAGACCGTGGGGCGTGGTGGAGTGTGTTATTTTTGGGGCCGACCTTTTCTAACCCCCCCTTCCACTGAGAAGGCAGCATCAGCTTGGCACTGCTGGTCATCCAAGGGAAACACCTTACTGCTGTCACACCCCATCCAGCTAGCAGCAGTACGACTTCGCCCTCAGACCCCCATCATAGTATAGCAATTTACACTATGACGGTAACTGCTTTTCGTCTAACCACTACCCAACAGACCTTTCTGGTATGGTAGGACCTCGAGGGAACAAGCGTTCCACCAGCATAGCTCGTTGGGTCATTGTGATATGCAAGCCCGACCACCACGTCAAGGTAGCAGCTATCATGAGTAAGACATAATGATGGCCAGGCAGATAATTGAAATTATGATTTGAATATCTGAGATAGCCATAGTTTAGTGGTCGCTGGTTCGAATCAGGTCGCAGTCCAGATTTTCATCTCATCTTCAATCATCAACCAGTACAGATAATTGAAAGCAGAATTTTTAGTCTCATATCTTGGTGACAAAAAAATTGGTAGTTGAAAACACTCATAAATATGCATTTTAATGAACAGGTTACCGATAAAAGAAATCAGATTTTCAATGTGTACTGTCTTCTCAAGAATTCCCGAGAATTTATGCACAACACTACTTATTATCGTGAAACAGAAAGCAGAACATTTGCGAAAATATTTCGTGTCATATACTACACTACTGATATTCATTCAGTACACTATAACCTACAGATAAAATAATTAAAAATTGACCTTCAACTTCACAAGTAATTTAGAAATTATAGTTTTCTTCGCAAAAAAAAAAATTATGATGACTAAAAGGCACAAAGATCAAGGAAGAATGAAAAACTTATAGCAGTATGATAATTTGCTTGATTATGTTTGAAGTAATTTGTCAAAAGCAATGATATGTTATGCATAAAATCTTGTAATTGTCTGACTTTTACTTCAACGAAGTGTAGCATTTCTGCTGCAAAAAGTGTCAGTATTCCTATGAAGAATACCTTTCTCAGTAGGTTCGGTTCTCACTGATGCCAGTCAAAACAGATAAATCCAGTAAACGATTAACTTGGCTGCTAATTATTATGAACATAGTGATTCTGAAAAGCCAACAAGGTAAATTGAATCCTTTGATCTTCTTCTGTGACACGAGATAAAAAATGTAGATAAAATTTACGCACAAAACCTGTGTACTGTGGTAGATTACAATTCCATTCCCACCTGTTTATCAGATGTGACTGACTGAGTGACCAAATCAACATAGAACCTTGCACATAACTGCATCGCCCCAAGCTGCCACACTTCACAGTAGTATACAAAGAACAGACGGGCACAAAAGGAATGATATCAAAGAAGATAATGTAGTGTGGGAGAATAAACAGTAAAATGATAAAAATTACTACAAATATTCAAGCGTTATAAGATGCTAGAGTGATGTATTGATTGGTCATGGAAGTGCGACCAATTTCTTGTTGTATAGTCCTGAGTGCAGATCGAATTCTATCGATCATACTTGCAATGTGGCAACTAACGTCAGAGGAGAAGTCGCCGACTACAACACCGGCTGACGCGGGTTCTAATCTCAGGCGGGACATCAGTTCCGTCGACGTTCAAGATACGCAAAGCTCACGAGTGCCAAAAACCACGAAACCTACGACCAGGGCTTCCTGCCAACTGCCTCCAACCAACTAAGATCCCAGAGTGAATAAAACAACACCGTTCCGCTCGACGTTCAGCCATCTCAACAAGAGTCTTCAACCAATGAAAAGAAGTGGAGCAGGGGAAATTGTGTATGCGAAATTATAAATAGTGATAGTGAAAGCATTAAATCTAACTATGAAATCATATTTTCAAACATTATATATATTCGGTATCCCAGTAGGAAATGTTCGTACCCTCCATACTTCTACTGAATACTGATTTTTCCTCTCTGTTTCGCATCTCCACCAATCAATTGCTCCCACCTATGTTGTTTGACAATCTTGAGCTGTATACTACTGATGTGTGTCATTATAGGTATCTGTCATCATAGAAAGGTAATCAAGTTGGTTTTATCATGAACTGACATCAGTTGGAGTACTGCTGAGAACCTGGGAGAAGTGGACAGCTATTTCATTCTAGTATGGGACTGTTCACCAGTGAGCCCTCATAACTCCGCTAGGGATCAAACCCAAGACCTTCAGGTCCCGTGTTGAGCATTTTACCATTGAGGCACTGGTTCCGAGAAATCGTGACCGATGGTACCGTCGCAACGTTTGTTTGGTTGTCAAAGATCGGGTTTACAACACTTCGCTGCGAGAAGTTCTGCTTTGCACCTGTGAAACCTGGCCTCTCTGAGCTGAGGATGTGTGATGACTCTGTGTGTTCGACCATCGTTGTCTCCATAGGATTGCTTGTATCTGGTGGCAGCACCATGTAAATAATCTTTAGATACGACACTGTGTGTTTGCGTATGATGGAGATTCTCATTCAAAACTTGAAGTCATCTGAAAACAATGGCTTCGGTGGCTTGGGAATGTGTTATGCGTGTCGTCCCAACGGCTTCCATACCGTTCATTGTTTGCTGGCCTTGAGACTTGATGGAAGAAGAAGCAGAGGGGTGGTCAGTGTATGACATGGCACCGTAGGATAGAAGATAGCTGTATCGGGTTGGCATCTGTTGGTGCATCACGACTCCCTGGGTGAGGTCTGAGAGATCACGCGGTTGAGTAACTCGAGATGTTGTCAGATATGGCTGGGAATCGGAACCGGTGGTGGTCGTGCTGTAGCTCTCTTCTATCTTCTACTGCTGAAGAATAATGAATGCTTTGTTTTGAATGTATCTTATTAGACTGCCTTTCCGGTCATTCTATTCTCGTTGTGCTTTTCTTTTTATTTATCCACTTTCCTTCGCTTTATGTCTTCATAGTGTTGTTATATTATTGTGTGGCGCATTTCTTGGTACCATCGTTATACCATATTTGTATTATGATAACAGTAATAATGATAGTAATGATAATAATAATAATAGGTAATCCCTGTAGGTTGAAATCAATTCCAGAATGATTGTAAATTGGACGACGATGGACAGCTACTGCTTCCTCCAAGTTAAACACTTGTCATTGGTACACAGTTCTCATGATAAGGCGATATTAATTAGCCATTAGATTCACGTATCAAACTGGAATGCAGCAAGTGCATAGTGGTTCTTGGTTTTCAAAGATTTGTTTGTGATGGAAACTACCTTGAAATCGATCTATGCCATGCAACCTTCGCATAACTATGCTTATATGTGTCAATGTTTTGTTAGTTTTTCTGCAACAATGATGTGATGTCGCGTAAACGTGTAGTGCTGGCTTAACCGTTTGCGTTCACCTTCAGTATTTTTGTATTTATGTACACCCTCCTTTTCTCTGTAATTCATGCTTGATTCAACACATAAATAATTGTGATTTCATCTATGAGTTATGTTCA